GCGAGCTACTCTTCAGTACATTTTCTTAGGGTGAGCAAGGGTAGGCCGGGGGAGGGGCGGAGAGACTGTTACAGAAGAAAGAAAATAAGTAACGCTGATGGTTTAAGCCCTTTATAAAAAAGAAACGGCATCAGGGTTTTTGTTTTGTTTTTTTTTTTCTTTATCCCCCCCCCCCCCCAGCCTTTGTAGTCAAGTGCATTTTAGCCACAAAGATCCCAACAAGAGAGTGGAAGGAAACTTAGACGAGGCTTTGTTTGACTCCGTGTAGCGACAACAAGAGAAACAAAACTACCTATTTGTAACGGACGTGCTGCCATTGCCCTCCGCATTGAGCGCCTACCTATTGAAATCTTTACGTCGGGACAATGGCAGAGCGGCTAAAATTACCCTCTTGGGTCCTGGGCGGGCAAGATTCCTGAGCCCCTACCCCCGCCCCCATCTCATCCTCCTCCAGCCGGGCCTCGCCGGGCTCCCCGCGCCCCAGGGCCGGCCGCCTGCACCTGCGCCTGGAGAGCATGCACCCCGCCTCCCAGGCCTGGAGCCCCTCAGCGGCCCGGGCTCGGCGGCCCCCGTGGTGGAAACCCACGGGGGAAATGCCAGGGCTGGTTCCGCTGGCGCCCAGGGAACCCTGCGTGGGAGGGAGTTTGTGACTGGGCCCGAGTGCCACCTCCGCACAGTGCCGTGGGATGCCAGGAAGTTGAGGTTTCCCTCCCCCATCGCCTGCACTTGGGAGCGCCCTTCCGTTCGTCTCTTTCCCCAGCCCCCGTTCGAAGCCCGCACGACTGAAACCTCTCTTTGGGGGAGGCCTGGGGTGGGCATGGGGCGCGGGGCGGGGGCGCAGGAGCCTCCCCTTTTCTTCGGTTGATTGGAGACAGGCCAGGGGGAGTCAGAGACCGAGCTGAGGGTTCCTGGGCCCAAGAGCTGAGCGGGGCAGAAAGAGGGCAGCTTTCCGGGCCTGCGCGTTCCCAGCTCCGGAGTCGGCCTCGTGGTCCGAGCAGGGCCGATCTGAAGAACGAGCACGTTAGGCGGAAGCAGGGAAGGCTCTGAGGGCAGAGGTTCGAGTCTCCTAACTCCTGGTGGGGACTGTGTCTGCAGGGCGTCCGGGAACGCCGGCCCCTGCGGGGGGAGAGGCGAGGCGGGCGCGCGGCGTGGGGGCCGCGGAGGGGCCGGAGCCGGGGGCACCGCGCGGATGAGCCGCGGAACGGTGACACGCCGGCTCCGGCCCCGGCGGTTTGCAGAAACACGAGCCACCCACGGAGCCCTGCCCCACCCCGCGTCCCATCCCCCCTTCGGCACCCTGCACCAAAAAGTAAATCAGTGTTAAGTTTAAAAAAGAAAAAGCCCACGCAGGCTCGGTGCTGTTTACCCACTTCCTTCGAAAAGGCGCGTGGCGTGACCTGTTGCTGCGAGGGGGACACAAAGGTTTCCCAGTGGCTGGCAGGCAGGCCCGGAGCCGCCTCCCCCTCCCCCGCCCTCCCCCTTCCCCTCCCCCTCCCCTCCCCTCCCCCGCGCCGCGGCCCGCCAGGCCCCGCCCCCTTTCATGCAAAACCCGGCGGCGAGGCCGGGCCCGAGTGGAGGAGCCGCCGCGCGCTGATTGGTCGCCGCGAACCCATTTATTCCCTGACAGCCCCCGTCACATGGACGGTTGTCTATTAACTTGTTCAAAAAAGTATCAGGAGTTGTCAAGGCAGAGAAGAGAGTGTTTGCAAAAGGGGGAAAGTAGTTTGCTGCCTCTTTAAGACGGGGACCGGGAGAAAGAAGAGGAGAAAGAAAGGAGCGAAGTTTGAGCCCCGGGCTTAAGCCTTTCCAAAAAATAACCATAACAATCCTCGGCGGCGGCGGCTCCGGCCGGAGGAGGAGGGAACGCGCGGTGGTGGTTTTTTTTGTTGGTTTTTTTTTTTTGGTTTTTTTTTTTTTTTTTTTTTTGATCCTGATTCCAGTCTCTGCCTCTCTCGCTTTTTCGCCCCCAAATTGTTCCTCGCCGGCTTCGCCTCGCGGAGCCCCGCGCTCCCGGCACCCCCGCCCGCCTCCCCTCCTCCGCCCCCCCCGCCCGCGGGCCCCCCGAAGTCCCGGCCGGGCCCAGGAGGGTCGGCGGCCGCCGGCGGGCCGGGCCCGCGCACAGCGCCCGCATGTACAACATGATGGAGACGGAGCTGAAGCCGCCGGGCCCGCAGCAGACTTCGGGGGGCGGCGGCGGCAACCCCGGCGCGGCGGCGGCGGCGGCGGCGGGCGGCACCCAGAAGAACAGCCCCGACCGCGTCAAGCGGCCCATGAACGCCTTCATGGTGTGGTCCCGCGGGCAGCGGCGCAAGATGGCCCAGGAGAACCCCAAGATGCACAACTCGGAGATCAGCAAGCGCCTGGGCGCGGAGTGGAAGCTGCTGTCCGAGACGGAGAAGCGGCCGTTCATCGACGAGGCCAAGCGGCTGCGCGCGCTGCACATGAAGGAGCACCCGGATTACAAGTACCGGCCGCGGCGGAAAACCAAGACGCTCATGAAGAAGGATAAGTACACGCTGCCCGGCGGGCTGCTGGCGCCCGGCGGCAATGGCATGGCCGGCGGGGTCGGGGTGGGCGCCGGCCTGGGCGCGGGTGTGAACCAGCGCATGGACAGCTACGCGCACATGAACGGCTGGAGCAACGGCAGCTACAGCATGATGCAGGAGCAGCTGGGCTACCCGCAGCACCCGGGCCTGAACGCGCACGGCGCGGCGCAGATGCAGCCCATGCACCGCTACGACGTGAGCGCGCTGCAGTACAACTCCATGACCAGCTCGCAGACGTACATGAACGGCTCGCCCACCTACAGCATGTCCTACTCGCAGCAGGGCACGCCCGGCATGGCGCTGGGCTCCATGGGCTCGGTGGTCAAGTCGGAGGCGAGCTCCAGCCCGCCGGTGGTGACCTCTTCCTCGCACTCCAGGGCGCCCTGCCAGGCCGGGGACCTCCGGGACATGATCAGCATGTACCTCCCCGGCGCCGAGGTGCCGGAGCCCGCCGCGCCCAGCAGACTGCACATGTCCCAGCACTACCAGAGCGGCCCGGTGCCCGGCACGGCCATCAACGGCACACTGCCGCTCTCGCACATGTGAGGGCCGGACCGCGGACTGGACGGGGGAGGCATTCTCCGGCAGGAGCGAGGGGAATCAGGGGAGGGGTGCAAAGAGGAGAGTCGGAAACAGCGTGGAGAAAGCCCGGTATGCTCGAAGAGAAAAAGGAGAAAGAAAGAAAAATAAATAAAAAAAAAAAAAAGGAGAGGAAGAATCTCATCACCCACAGCAAATGACAGCTGCGAAAGAGAACACCGATCCCATCCACACTCACGAAAAAACCGCGATGCCGACAAGAAAACTTTTATGAGAGAGATCCTGGACTTCTTTTTGGGGACTTATTTTTGTACAGAGAAAACCGGGGGGGGAGGGGTGGGGAGGGCGGGGGAATGGACCTTGTATAGATCTGGAGGAAAGAAAGCTACGAAAAACTTTTTAAAAGTTCTAGTGGTACGGTAGGAGCTTTGCAGGAAGTTTGCAAAAGTCTTTACCAATAATATTTAGAGCTAGTCTCCAAGCGACGAAAAAAAATGTTTTAATATTTGCAAGCAACTTTTGTACAGTATTTATCGAGATAAACATGGCAATCAAAATGTCCATTGTTTATAAGCTGAGAATTTGCCAATATTTTTCAAGGAGAGGCTTCTTGTTGAATTTTGATTCTGCAGCTGAAATTTAGGACAGTTGCAAAAGTGGAGAGAAGAAAATTATTAAAATTTGGACATTTTAATTAAAAATTGTACAAAAGGAAAAAAATTAGAATAAGTACTGGCAAACCATCTCTGTGGTCTTGTTTAAAAGGGCAAAAGTTTTAGATTGTACTAAATTTTATAACTTACTGTTAAAAGCAAAAATGGCCATGCAGGTTGACATCGTTGGTAATTTATAATAGCTTTTGTTCAATCCCAACTTTCCATTTTGTTCAGATAAAAAAAGAAAACATGAAATTACTGTGTTTGAAATATTTTCTTATGGTTTGTAATATTTCTGTAAATTTATTGTGATATTTTAAGGTTTTTCCCCTTTATTTTCCGTAGTTGTATTTTAAAAGATTCGGCTCTGTATTATTTGAATCAGTCTGCCGAGAATCCATGTATATATTTGAACTAATACCATCCTTATAACAGGTACATTTTCAACTTAAGTTTTTACTCCATTATGCACAGTTTGAGATAAATAAATTTTTGAAATATGGACACTGAAATCATTCTCGAGTCTTTCATTTATTTGGTTAACACTGTGATTATACATAACTTCTCGGGGAATTATCTGACTGTGCTCAGCCGACAAAGCAAAAGCCCAAAAACCCTCGGTATTACTAGTCCAGCGTCATGTGCTAATGTTAACTGCGAAAAGGAAACGGCTGGATGAATAATAAGTACTGGAAAAATTGAAAATTTTGTCATTTCTGAAATAGAAACTAGAGACATATATTGTAATTCCACCCCCTCCTTTTCTAAGCAGCATGAATAAGCATGATGGGGACTTATACTGCAAACTGATTTATGCCACTTGTTGCCAGAAAGCATCCAATTCTGAAATTTTTCATGCAGTTTAGCAGATGGGGTATTGAGCCAAATCAGAACCAGGTTGGCTGGTTTTGTTTTCATTTTCTTCACAGCACAATGGCCCTTTGAAACCTGGCTATGGGGAAAAATGATGCTTCTTGTATCAGAATAATTGCAAACTAGACATGCAAAGTGCTCATCTGCTGGGTGGGTGTTTGGATGACTCTGGCCCTGCTATTGTCTGGGAGGAAACAAGTGGTTTGCTTTCTTTGTTCCTTGACTTCATAAACTTTCTCCTCTACGTTTTCCTGTTCGGGGGCGAGGGAAGGAAAAGAACATCTTGCAAAACTCCCCGGCTTATCATCAACGTAGTTTTATTATTTATTTTCTTTTTTCCCCTCTCTCTCCCTCCCTCCCTGAATTCCATTTCTTAAATTGGCAGCGCGGGTCCAAGCCTGCAGCCCCAAATCGGATAATCTCTACAGCTGATAACAAGCAAAAGAGAAGCCAGGCAACAGCCATATTAAAGAAGAAAACAGTCAACTCTGAGGTAGATATTTTACTTTGTCCTGTCTAATCACATTTGGAGATGATTATGCTTTTGATCTGTTAACAATGTTTTACTACAGTAGTAGAGACGTGGGGGAGGGGAGAGGGGTGGGGAAACAAGATTGGATTTGGGGGGGCTGTGTGTGTGTGTTGCCCTAGGAAAGGTAAAGAAAGGCCATAGTTGTCCTCGGTGGGGGTGGAAAAGTTGGGCCATCGCCGTGGTCTTTGCTTTAGCGAAGCTTCTGCTTCCCAGCCCACCCTTGCTCTGGGGCAGCCGGATGATGTTACCTAATCAGGGACTTTTCTACTTTATTTACTACCGGCTTCGCTCATCCTCCCCCACCCACGGGGACCAGGAACCAACAGTCGGGCGCTCTTAAGAGCACGGGTTTGCTTCCCACAATTTCAAGAGCTTGTCGCGTCAACTTGCTACAACTTTGGAGGAGTTGGAATGCGGCAGCGTCTCCCACCCTTGAGAGAAGTACCTGCTGCAGCCAGCGAGCTGGCTTATCCCGCTGGCTTGCATTTTCTCATTTCCAAGGAAGTGCTGCTTTCTCGTGGTATTGCCAATGTTAGTTCTGGGCTGAAGTGGGAATCTCTCATATTTTCTGTACTTTCTATTTTTTCTAGATTGCCGTGTTTTGGATATGTACTGTTTTTTATTTATTACTTTTTTAATCCTCATTTTTAGGGTAACCTTGTACTGGGAAGGGACAATTATTATTCCAGGTCCTAATTCTAAGCTAGGCATTTCCCCCCCCCCCCTAATTAATGCAGAGACTCTAAAAGAATTTCCCCCGGCCTGGCCAGCCATTGTAATGCATATACGGATTATTCACGTGGTAATGAGCACATTCGCCAGTTCTTGCTCACACATACGAATAAAAGAAACTTTGAATAAAGATCCAAATGATCATGCTGGGGGAGTGGGGAGGATATTCCCGGAATTTGAGGCAGTCAACTATATAGCTTATATATTTTTTAAATAGAAATATATTAGAAATACGTATAGAGGTTTAGAGTAATTGCACTGCACTCACCTCTCATTTAAAAAAACAAAACAAAAAACAGTCCACAGGGTCGGGCTAAAAAGCAACTTTCTGGCAAAATGCTGGGCTTCAAATATTTTGCAAAAGGAAAGGGAGCACAATATTTTGGGAAGTAGAACTAGCTTTGAATAATTGTCACTGTCTGCATAAAGCAAGAGAACTCCCGTCCCCCTCCTATCCCAAACCAAATAGTTGAAAAATGAAAGTCAAAATGTTTTGTTTGCAAATATAAATGCTTCTGATAAACTATATCTGAGGGAAATGATACATATCTTGTGCCATCATTCATCTGATTAAATGAAATGGTTCCCTGAGATATGTAATTTCACGGCTAGATTAATATTGAACATATAATATTTTAATAATAATGTGATGTTCAAGGAGAGTAAACCCATAAAATTGCCCAGAGATGGTTATCACATGGTGCTGAACATAGCTGTTGAGTGTTTCGTTTTTGTTTTCGTTTTCGGGATACCATTCTGCTCAATGAAAGCATTCAATTTCCAGTTAAAAAGGGTGCATTTAAATGTTTTGTGAACCTTATACACAGAATAGAAATGTGCAAAAGGGTGAGATTATAGTCTGTCCTTTCTGCAATTTTTTTTCTTTCCCCAAACCACCTGCCCCCCTTCCCCACATACTTTAAATAAAGAGCGTTAAAATATTTTGCTGAGCTGTAGTAGATTAGCAAGGTTTCTTGCCAATGCTGGGAAGCTGGTATTACAGACCATCCCAGGGGAAAATGGCTCACATTAGCCACTAAATGAATATTTGACAAGGGCTCATTCGGAGGTATTATTACTATAAACGTGTCCCTACTGGACTTTTCAAGGGTCAAAGAGCAACGCTTCAATTAATTATTTAGACTGCTAGTAGATTTGGTCGTAATAGCTGTACTTATTTCTAGAAATCGACACATTCTTACAGTAGGAAAATCTCAGGAGAATCTTCTCCATCAGCAACATCTTGGATTGAAATACACATGGAACCCTGGCATTCTAAAGCTGACTTTTTCATAGAACCTTTTTTGGGGGCTGGTGGGAGGTGGGGGGGGCCACAGAATTATAGTCTCTTTTTCTATTTCACTGACTGTTTTTTTGTTTAAAAGAAAAAAACAACATAATAATTTATCTTAATTTCCACTTCATGTCTGGCAAGGTCTTTTAGGGATTTGCAATATGGGGCAAAAGGGGAGGGTGTTCGTGTACAGCCTCTGCCTTTTCTAAGTAGAACTGTCACAGGGATTCAGAGACCCAGGCAGGCCCTGAATGTAGACAGGATACACATTCCTGTTTGCCAATAAAATGCAAGTTTGAAAGTGGAAGGTTCCATGCGCTGAGTACTCTAGGTTCTAGTCGTCTCAGAGTAAATTGGGGTACAAGGTAGTCCCTCCTTCTCTCCCCACCTATTAGTCTGAACGCTGCAAGGTGCAGTGGGGGGGCCAGGGTTCCATTTCTGCCATGTCACAAGTTCCTCCGTGGCCCTAGGTAAAATGGTAAGGGAGTGATTTTGAGGGTAAGACTCCTTGACAATAATATAAATTGAATGAATAAGAGATAAGCTGCGAGGGGGGGTGGGAAGAGTAATTACAAACCCAATTCATTCAGCTTTTCAGAACTTCTGTTGTGGGAGCTCCATTGACGGGTTTTGAGCTGCCAGTTTTCTCACATTAAAAAGACTTAACTGCATGGTGATGGGGTCTTCATTTAGAACCATTACAAGACGAAAATTAAACAGTGCCTTTGTGTGCAAGAGGTTTACTTTTCAACTGCTAACAGTTTATAGCTAACTGCTCTGAGATTGAAGTTTCACTATGGTTTGATCACCTGCTGATTGACACTGCTTATTTATTTATTTATTTATCTATCTGTTATAATTCAGATAACTTTTCATCACCACCAGCCCCGTTTTATTTCTTGCTCTTGGAGAATTTTGAAAAACAGATCCTCGTATTTTTCTTTGTGGAAGGAGTTGCCTTTGCCCTGAGCTTTAGCAGAGACTTCAGTTCACATTCCCCAGGGGACAACCCCTCACCCACATTACTGCCTTAAAATAATTTGCATCTCATTCTCTGTTTTTTTTTTTTTGTTGTTGTTGTTGTTTGTTTTGTTTTTTCTGCTGCATTTTCTTGCTCAGGAAGCTAAGGCTGCTTTGCGGGCCGCAAGGAGGGTTGCAGATAGGGGTTAATTTATTTTTTTGCTTTGCTTTCTTTTTTTGACCTAAATTGGAGGAGGGCTGGGTGGATTTCCCTAAGGACTTTGCCTATGAGGTGAATCCCTTAAAGAAGGAAGAAGGGGCAGAAACTCTGACCTTTGCTGTGAAAATATGGATAAAGTCCAAATGGACATAGCTTCCGGAGTTCTAGAGTAAGAAAAGCTGTGGAAGGAGCTTTCTAAAGACAGGAAAGTTGCCCAAACCAGAGAATTAGTTTAGTGTCTTTCATGGTTATTTTCTATTAAAACTTTCCGGGAAACCTGACATCTGTTACCACCAAGGGAGTCTTGTAACCTCCTCTCTCCCTGCTAGCAGCACTGTCCAGTTTTAGGATTCTTGTTTTCAGTTTGTCTGTTTTGCTTCTGTGGTCTTTAGAAAATAATGGACTTTACTTTCTTATTTTGACTAAGGGGATTTCTCTTTGGAAGGGTGGCGTATGAAGATAGGTCTAAGATTCTTGTCTCTATTCCGATTCCAGATGGATTTTATTTTATACTTTGGTATAAAGGTGCTATTTCTGACTCCCTGAGCACTGTGCTCAGTTTCTCTCCTAAAGCAAATAGAATTTCCTCTCATTTCGGAATGCAAAGATATTTGCTGCACCTAGGCGTTTGAACTTGAGATGCTTGTTCTACTTTGCAAAGAAGTGTCAGGTGATCGGAAAGCTGGAGGTGTCCTTCGTTTTATCACCCTGGTCTGCCTGCGTATACAGAAGGAAGGGTGCGCTGTTTTCTGTAGAGTTCGGCGCTTTGAACTCTCACTTGCCTCGGTCTCCCAGCTTCGGTCCGGGGCTCGGCTCCGGGCTGTGAGCGCGCCGGCCTCCCGCGGACTGCCCTGGGGAGCGCCCGTGCCCAGTGCCGGGAGCCGACCAGCTCCGGCGGGTGGACCTGATGTCACCGCAGCCCGGGTCACGGCACCCACAGGGCGCCCCGAGCAGGTGCTGTGTGGCGCTCCAGTTCTCTCCGGCGCGGCTCTGCCCGAACGGCCGCATTCCCTCCCTCTCAAGCGAGGACCCGCGTCAGACAAGTCTAGAAAGTCTCCCCGAGGCGTTGGGGAGCCCGCCACTCCGGAGTCCTCTGCATCCTGCGCCCCAGCCCACGCCCTCTCCGTGCTGACCTGGTGACGCGGGAGATGGTGTCTGGGCCCCAGATTCCCACGCACATCAGAGATTGTCTACACAAGGGGCTCTTTGTCCCTGTTTGTGGCCAACTCTCAGTATGAGTGATCTCACGTGGTTCTTCCCGGTTAGAGGCCGAGGACTGGCAAGGCTGGGGGAAGCCACAGGAGCCATCTGGGATCCCTGGAATATGGGGCCCCTCTGGATCAGAGCGGGTAGGGATGGGGAGCTACAGCCCCTTCACTTTCGCGTTTGTGAGGTAGGAATAACGTAGAGTTAGTTACCTGGAAGAGGTGACGACACAGTGCCTGACAAAACAGGCTTAACTGATAAGCATGACTTTTCCTACTGTCTAGGCGAATTAGCGAAGGGCAGCAGTCCTCACGTTAGACCACAGAGGACAGACGGAAACCAGGCCCTTCCTCTCCCTCCTGGCCCTGGGTGTTCACTTCCCTGCCTGCTTCCCAGTGCTCTCTCTGGCTCCAGGTTTGCCCAGGAAGTTATCTTGCAAACTTGCCATCCCTGGGCACCGTCTTGGAGGGAGGGATCCTGGCATTCCGGGCAGGAGCCGCCCCCACCCGCACAAGGCAGAAAAATAATTACTGTATTAAATAAGGCGCG